GGTGCAGTTGCTTGATGGCCGAAGGCTTTACAGAAAACGGCCCAAGCGTTCTCTGGCTTACAGAGACAGGCTTGTCTGGCTATCACTGGTGCCATCAGTACCACACCGTCAGCGGCCGAGGAGATCCTTCTGCATACAGACTTGTGCACATTGCCAATTGCACAAATCAATCAAATGCAGAGTGGAACAAACTGTTGGTTGACACTGACACAGCATTCTGGAAATGACCTTTGACTTTATGCCTCCAACTGTCAACTACGAAATGCCTTATAAAGTACTTTTCTCAAGTAGAGAGACCTGAATACTCCGGGAGAAGGAAATATTAAGAGCAGATAGTTGTTGGTTGACAGATGGATAAAAAACACCTTCCGGTTCTCATGCAGGTGTTTTTAGTCGCAGACCCAGGACAGAGATATCTGCCTGCTTAGGAACTTATGCGACTATATTTCAAGCGGAAATTCACTCTATTCAATTGTGTGCGGAGAGATTGGATAAATCCAACCTCACACACAAGTCAATAAAAATATTCTCGGACAGTCAAGCGGCGTTGGAATCTCTTGGCTCCTACCGAGCAACATCTAAATTGGTAGGCAATATGCCAAAAATGACTCTCTTCGATAGAAAGACTCAACAGATTGTCTGTGGTCTGTATTTCTAGCCATACTGGCTTGGAAGGTCATGAAGCTGCTGATTCTATTACAAAGGAGGGTGCTGCAAGCGGTTCAATGTTTGTTTGGCATCGCCAAACAAACATTGAACGCCTGGATGACAAGAAGATTTATGAACTTCCGGCAGAATCTTCCAGGATTGGATTACTCCAAGGCATTTGCCCACCCTTCGAAGCTTGATATCAAACAGTTGTTGGATTACAGTAAGGATCAACTACGATGTCTAACAGACCTTCTTACTGGTCACTGTCATTTGAATCATCATATGCAGACACTTGGACTGTCGGAAGATAGTATGTGTCACTTCTGTCTGGAAAATGATGGAACAGCAGAGCATATACTTCGTGCCCGCCCCGCTGGGGACCGAATCAGGTTCTTAGAGTTCGGTAGATCCATACTCTTACCATCTGACCTGAAAGACCACTCATCATAAAAATTAATCGGCTTCGTTAAGAAGCTGGTTTTATTTGTCCGAGTGTGAATAGGTGTGAGCTACAATAAACCCTTGCGGGTTGCGGTGGAGGGTCGAATAGACCCACTCACTTTGGACCTAACCTAACCTAACCTAACACCTTTAGTGATTGACATTGGATGCCAAATTATTGAGGTTTGTACGAAACTACTAGAATATGTGTCATCCATAGTACTTTTTTGATAATTGTCGTTCTTTTCAAAGTTGCATCTTCACATGTTCACATGTCACATGTTCAAATGTTCTTGAATTTTTTTGTGGGTCATCTAGAAGTGGAAAAATAATTTGTAATCATTCTCTATTAGGTTAAGAAAAAGAGCGTGCAATTCACAAGGTCCAATCTCTTCCCAACTTTTGAACTGGCCGAACCATTGCACGCAGACCCTTAGAAATTGCGAAGCTAACGTACCCTCCACACTGTACCGTCCGTAGCTTCCATACAGTACCGTCCGTACTGTACTATCCGTACCGTACCATCCCGACCCAGTATGCGCCAAGCTCCAAATTTACGTTAATTTGAGACAAACTGCTTCAAATAACTGTCGGGCTGTGATAAAACCTTGAATCCTACTGCAGTTTAGGCCAATTGTAAATTAGGCCTTTCATAATAACAACCGCACAGAGTATCAATTGAAACTACCCCCGAAACACAATCCACACTCCACTACCCCTTTCTGCGGCGGACGAAATGCACTAGCGGACACAACTTGAATCGAAATTAGTATAAATGAATGGGAGGCTAGTGAATAATGGAAGCTCTAGGCTGGTGCAAACATCACGTTCAGAGCAGATAACCAATCAAAATAGGATTTCATAGCGATTTAAACAGATTAGCCAATAAATATTAAGGTTATCTGGTCTGCACAAACCGTAATGGAATTACATTTAATGTTGAAGCTTTACAAAGAAACAATGACGTTAACCTGATTAGCGAAATCGCAGCGAACGCTTTATTGTCGTCGTGATCAGGACAAAAGAACAGGAAAACTTTCAGGGCTCAATTTTACTGCGACTGGATAACATTTATCACATTAGTGATTATGAACTACTTGAGTGAAATTATTGAATTCCATTCGAGTTACTTCAACATTCACTCAAAGTATCGCTAAATACAAACTGGTGAATGTATAACTCAAGGTAGGAATTCCTATTTATTGAAAAAATGTATTTTATCAAATGGAAGTTTAGTTTTTTCCGTAATATCATGAAAGATATTTATTGAAAATATATTTAAAAAATATAGACAAACTTTCGGTGTCGGATAGTATATAAGCTGACATGTGGCTCTTGCCCAAAACTGTATATTGGCCAAACAGGGAGAACATTTTCCCAAAGAATTGATGAGCATAGAAGTAGGTTTTTAAATAGAAAGACCAATTCCACATTCGCCAACCACCTTTTAACAGAAGGACATGAATTCAATTATGAATACGACGTGTTACATTTAGAAGAGAAAAGTTTGAAACTCAATCTTCTGAAATGTTTAGAAATCAATAGATTTGAGCATTCAACTAATTTACTTAATGATCAATTAGAATCGAATGACTTCCCGTTACTAAATATTTTCGAAAATGTGGAACATGGGACATGAGCTCAGGTAATTTAATTCATTACAAACTTAGGTAAAACTTGGTAATTGAAATGTAGGTATTTCCAATTGTAAAATTAGGTATATTAAGAATTAAATGTGTAGAATATAGTTACTAAATACACGCCCGATAAAGCCATGGTTTGGCGAAAACTGTTTAGTGAAAAGCTCACAATAATGTGTTTTTTGAATACGTTAGTTATAGATTTTCATCAAGTATTGGCCAATTCCATCATATATCACTAAACAAATTGGTGTGACAATTTTGCCGATATCATTCCTTCACTAAGGGTTGGTACCTATTTAGTGCTCAGATCCATTCAGCAAATGTTAAATAGTTATTGGATAAAACGATCGTGTGTTCCAGTAATCATAATTTGAAAAATGCTCATTCTTGTTCACTGCACTATTGTTATGAAAAGTTTTTGAAAATGTTTCAACGTCATTATTTCTTCATCAATGAAATATAATAAATGAAAAGAAAAACAATGACGTGATTTTGTGATATGAAATGCAAAAAAAGCAAGCTTACATTTATTTGATCTGAAACCAAACGAGATATTGAGGCCAGTTGGGACATTTTTTTCATTGAAGTTTCCGTTATTATTTCATATATTAATGAAGAAGATTCTCCACAAAACTCAATGTCTCTCGACAACACTCCAGTTAGTTAAACAACTCCTTTGGCTTGATAATTAGATCCAATATAAAATTTGAAGACTGAATATAAAAAGAAGCAATGGCATATAAAGAACCGGGGAGTTCACCCTTTTCAACATTTTATTATGCATCAGGTTTTCTACCTGAGAAAGTAGAGAAAAATGAAATTTAAAATTTTCAAAATAATAATTGTATGAAATTTCACTCTTAGAAATTGGCAGAAACAGCGAAAGGTCATGATAGTATAAGTAGACGAAAACCTAACAGAAAATATGACTTTCAGTTCAAGAGTTTTTTTGAAGTTTCCGGTATGTCTTTATACCTTATTATTATGCGAGATTAATCAGAATCTTTTTTGAAAGAAATATCATAAAATTTAATGAAGAATGGTCTTTATTACTGACATTGTCATTATTTTTTATCGAATTGAATGTTTTTTTCTTAGAGATTTTAATTTTCACTCTTCGTCACGTTAGTGTATTGAGGAAGGACATACCGAAAGCTTGACGAAAATGGATTTTTTTTTGAAGATAACCCTACCATCGACTGAAACACCTAAAAGCCAAATTTTTGGCTCAACTCCGCCTCACATGTGATATCTATAATTTTGTAAGTGTGACAGATACTCGACGAAGAAACAACAAATAATCCAGCTAATGCCGCACAGAACGTTGTAATAAAAGCATCAGATACCTGTGCACAACGTTTTCCGTTTAATCACTTGGACCTTTTTCTGACGTAACATATTTTGTCAGAAACGCTCGATCTGTGGCAGCCGCCCATTCACAGAGGTGCTAAGTCCATTAAAAAGTGACGCTGCTTGACAATGTCAAATGGGTATACATTCCTATATTATGGTCCATCAGTTGAATATATGAATGAACTACGAGCGATAGATTTCGATTATTGCTCCATATATCAACATGTGTCACAAGTTGGGTCAATCTTATTGGACAAAACAAAATTAAATACGAATCGGTTTTAACACCAGAGTTTCTATGCATGTTTGTCACAAGTAACTTTCTGAAAATGAAAATCTAAAATTGATTTCATTTCGTCGGGATCAACACTGATAGTTTTGTAGTACTAGCTTTTTGTCATTGCTGGTTGGGTCAGTTCAGATCATCTGAGTATCCCGAACGAACGAAATTCCTTCTAACTATTAATAAGCTCTGCGTGTAGTTGATTTGGTAGGATGGGCTATGGCGCATCCTACAAGCAAAGTTCGAAAAAAATCCACAAACAAATTTCCCAGGGTCCGGGATGGAAATCAAAATAATAAAATAAATATACTCTATAGAGGTGCAATTGAAATGCAACTGATGTCATTGCACAGGAGTCTGATGAATTTACTTCAACTTTCGGCACTATATTAACTGCTTTCCTTTTTTCTCCATCAGGCGAAGATATGGTATTGTCACCAAAACTTGTTACCAAATTGTTATTTTCTCCTTTCACAATATCTTCGAGAATCAAATATAAAAATGAACAATAAAATATAAAATGAACAATAAAAATTTCAATCACTAATTATTTTGAATGAACAATTTTATAGCAGAAATAACTCGTCTGATTTCATACCTGTGATCATCCTATCTAACAATCAACTTACGTGCTCTCAGATGGCACTACTTGCTCGCCTATCAACCTTTCAGGCATGGGAGGAGGAGGGTACGGTTGAACTAGCGGCTGTGTATGGTATAACCCTGGTAGGAGCTCCTCGCTGGTATCTACTGTGAAGGGGCACTGGATACCAGTGGAACAATGTTTCGTATTGACTGGTTTGGTGTCTTGGGAACACAACGTGCTGAGTTGGTCGGCGGAGTCTCTGCATTCCACGCCCCTCACTTGGAGGCCCTCTCCACATGATACCGAACACTAACAATGGAAACAGTATATACAGAACAAGAAACAAAAATTGATAATGATGGCATGAGGGTGACAAGGGAATGAGTGATCAGTCGTGCAAAAAACTAATAATTATTGCTGTTCTATGTAGAAATATACAAATATTCATGTGGTTCTAGTAAACTTGGATATCAACCCAACGAAAAAAAAACATTCCAATCAGTTGATGAATATGTCTCCTAAGAGTGCAGACATTTCTCAGAATATTTTTCACTTTTGAACCGTAAGTGAAAATAATTCTTGTGGAAAAACATTTGGGGTGTATCACAAACTACTAAAAATATCTTCAAGGATTATTCATTCATTATGGATTGAGAGAGAAATGGGTAGAGATGAAACGACCCTATTGAAACGTTTGACAATAATAATGTACTCATAAGTGGATTACATGCAATTAATCAGAAAACGTGAGAGATATTCTGGTTTGAAAAACGTTCTGTTGAATGATATAGACCCCAGACCAATTTTTGTAATTCAACAAAGTCCATAGTTTCCTGGGAGAGGAATATTTCCTTCTAGTTCATAAAAAACAAACATTAATCCGAGGAAATCGAAACCATCAACTCCAGAGACCAAATCAATTAGTTCATATGCATATTTCAACCTCGCAATGGGAATAAAAATCCAGTATTTTGCCACTGCAATAAAAACAGGAACCAAATGAAAGGGATGATGAACGCCGCGCTAATCCGGCTCTGTTTTACAGCAGGATGATTGTATAAATCCTTGAACGTAATGGGATTTGTACTTACGCCTGACCATTTTGTAGTTAGCCACGTAGGACAATTCATTTGATTGCAGGCTTCCTGAAACCAAGGTTTATGACCGCCGCACTTGATGTCATCAACCTGAAAAAGAAAGAAAGATACATTCGGTTTATATCGTTAATATCGCGAAATATGACATGATGCGAGGATTTTTTTCAATATCTTTGAGGGCTGAGCGTTTGAAGGGAATTTTTCGTGAAACTAATTGTTTGTATTTGTTTTCTATACAGGGAAAGTGAATTCAGATGTTAAATAAACGTAATACATGTCAGAAATCGAAATTATTATGTACCATAAAATATGCGATAAACATATAGTTTTTGTATGGTAGCCTTCGCTTTTGCAAGTGTGAAACGAAGACAAAACAGTGAAAGTTTGCCTTTTGGTGATAACTTGCACTCAAGATATCGAATAGAGATAGCTGAACGAAGTAAGTCGTTGATAATTTCTCAGAGTTTGAGAGTCTTTCTATGAGATTTACCATCATTCGACAGTTGAATACTGTTACTGTGAAGTTTTGAACGGTTCGAAGAGTTGTTTTCATAAGAAACAACTCTGAGCTTTTCATATTTCATGGTAGGTACATTTTATAAATCTGCCCCCATACTGACAACAACTCTGTCTGATGTTTCGCATAGTGGAATATTTGAATTCCTAGATATCAGAATTGAAAAATGAGTAATAGAATTTTTTTATCAATATATTGAGATTTCCTCTGACACGGTTGAGAAAGCGAGAAAGTATTGAAATAACCCTCGTTTCTCTGAAAAAAATATATAACGGTATCGGAAATAGCATAGCATATTTCAAAATTAACTGGTGATTGAGCAATGAAATGGAGTGAAAGAAATATTAATGAAAAAATTCAAAGAATCCTCCCTATACATATACTAAGCACATAACAAGTTTATTTGAAATGGTTTATTGGACATTGATCGTATCTGGTCATCATTGCAAGGGTTTGAAATTGAAGATATGAACCTTAACTGAATTTCCGAGCAATATAATGTAGGTATGTGTATGTAGTCTTGTAGGTAGACTATTCTGTATGTATATCCTTTCATTGTCCCAACTATATTCGACCAAATTGAAATTTTATTTCTTAGATAAATGGTGAGGCTCTGCTAATTTTGAAACTTGCGTGTTTGATTTCATCCACAAGAGATAAAAAAAAATTATAATCACTGTCTATACAGCAGACTGAAAAACAGTCTCTCATACAATTCACTTCTCCATAGAAAATGTTGAAATAAATAGATCTTCATTGAAAGTAGTGGTTGATCGTAGAGCAATGAAGTAACTCTGAAAGATGAATCATCAGTGCTTATAATGAATGATATACCAATGGAAACAAATGCTCATTTTTAGATCCATCGAATGTATTTGTGACTTCATGAAAACACCAGAGTGTCATTTTGATTTGGTAATGCCCCTCCAATCTTTCACCAGTTTATGAATATAGTATTTCCATTTTTATGTCTTCAGAAGGTCATGTCCACATACTTATTTTTCCAAGAAATTTTTTTGATTGCCTATAAATTACAAAATATCGTATCACTTATTATTTCAATCTGTTTTGTGATTTTTGTTTGTTTTCAGTAAAACCTGGAAACGAAATGAATTTTATCACAAAATAATTTTGTCTAGAATGAAATTAATGGAAAAGTCGTTATTTCAAATCATACTGTTTGCCATTGAAGACTTCGGGAACTGGAAAACATCGGCATACGGGACAGAGCATATGAACTGTTTTATTCCTACTTGTAGTCCGAGAACAATTACCCACGGAGTTCCACATGGTACGGTCTTGGGTCCAACGCTATTCATTATCCATATAAATAGTTTATTAAAAATGCATTCTGAAGGAAACATTCTCAGTTTTGCAGACGATATAGCAATCTTTTATAATGCGGAGACATGGCAAGACATTAAGATGAAATCAGAAAGAAATTTCAAAATCATCATGAAATGGTTTCAATATAACAAATTGACCTTTGACGTAGTAAAAAAGGAAAAATCTACCATTTACCTCTTATGCCAATAAACTACCGAACATAGGTCCATTGATTATTAATCAAAACTTATTGATTCCAGAAAGTACCTCAATTAAATACCTTGATCGATCGACACATGAAATGTGATTCACACGTATTATATCTTACTCAAAAATCACCAGGATTTTTGTTTTGCTTCAAACTAATGAAACATCGCCTCTAAATTCCCTATATGACTATTGTATATTGTGGTTTGGTTCAATCGCAACTCTCATATAGTATTTTAGGTTGGGGAGGTATTAGGGATACCCACTTGAGATGTCTGGATACTTTACAGAAAAAATTTAAAAAAATGTTGTTAGGTAAAAGTAGAACGTTCTTCAGTGTCCTCTTATTTAAATGAAGTAATGTTCTAGATACACGACAGCTATACTGCCAGAAGATTATTCTGAAAGTCATTGAGAACAAAATAAAAATAAAACCAGTGGAACACATGTATAATACCCGTAGAAAAGAAAAAATTTATTTTTATCTCCAAGATGCCAAAAATTGGTAGGTCAAAGACACTATGATAATCTTGACCCAGAGATCTGAAGCACAGTACCGGAAAAATACATTATACAAAATAAATCGAAATTCAAATGAAAAACAAAAAATTGGGTCAAAAAATCAGATCAAACTCTGTTTCATCAAATTAATAACCAGCACACTTTAAAAAAAAATCATTTGTGATGCCTACCTTACTAAAATACAATATAACTAAGAATAAAATCATTATGCTAATTCATTTTCAACAGTTTATATCTATTCATTGTATTGTATTCAATTCATTATGCTAATTTATAGTTAACAGTTCATATCTATTCATTGTATAATACATATTTTTTAGTTAAGTCATAGTTTAGAATTTGGCAATATCACGCACAAGGAACATTTTCGAATTACTTCTGTAATGCCTACGTTCATTTACCGTATCTCTGTTATATACATGTGATCAATATGGTTAATGAACATTATTATTATTATTATTTTCTTTTTTCTTCCTTCGCTTACAAACTAGAAACGTTTCCATTCCACTTCCACAGAGATATTCACAGCAGAGGATTATTATTATACACTCATTAGGATTAGAGCAAAACTTATTTTCCTTATTGTTCATTTTGAACACACTAACCTGTTACTTGGTGGAAATCAATAACAATTTAATAGAACTGGCCGATACTTGAAGAAAATTCATATTGAAACTCATTAATACTGTTTATTGTATGATTTTCACGATACCTAAAGGGTTTGACAAAAACCGCGACAATCCGCTTGAGAAAGTTACTGTATGGCGAAACACGTGTAGCGGTTTTTGTAAAACCCGTTATAGTAAAAATCATATAATAAACGGTATTAATGAGGATCAATAACACTAATCATGATAATCATAACAAATTTATTTATTTCCAATATGCGTTTCACTACACTGTAGTTCCTTTAGTTGGACTGGTATGCTACATTATTTCTCAGAGTTTGAGAGTCTTTCTATGAGATTTACCATCATTCGACAGTTGAATACTGTTACTGTGAAGTTTTGAACGGTTCGAAGAGTTGTTTTCATAAGAAACAACTCTGAGCTTTTCATATTTCATGGTAGGTACATTTTATAAATCTGCCCCCATACTGACAACAACTCTGTCTGATGTTTCGCATAGTGGAATATTTGAATTCCTAGATATCAGAATTGAAAAATGAGTAATAGAATTTTTTTATCAATATATTGAGATTTCCTCTGACACGGTTGAGAAAGCGAGAAAGTATTGAAATAACCCTCGTTTCTCTGAAAAAAATATATAACGGTATCGGAAATAGCATAGCATATTTCAAAATTAACTGGTGATTGAGCAATGAAATGGAGTGAAAGAAATATTAATGAAAAAATTCAAAGAATCCTCCCTATACATATACTAAGCACATAACAAGTTTATTTGAAATGGTTTATTGGACATTGATCGTATCTGGTCATCATTGCAAGGGTTNTACAAGAAGACATAAAAAAAATATGAACGGAATGATTTTGGAAAGAATGGTAACATTCTGAAACCGTCTTGGGATGGTAAAATAGTTGATATCCAATGAAGACAGTTCTATAAGATATCGTATTGTAACATACGCTAGCATAACTACTATTTGATTGAGAAAAATATTGGTGTTAACAGACCTCAAAGTTTTTGTCAGTAAGAGACATACTTCATGTTTTTCTGGAACGGAAAGAGAAAATATATCAGCGCTTTGAATGGAAAAATTGAGCAGAAAATCTCTTTCCGGAATATAATAATAATAACAATACTGTTTCCATCCATACATCCCAAATTTCAAAGTTAGAAATGCCAATGAGCTCAATTAATACTGTAGCAGACGGTTGTTAGCCTCTGGAGGAAGTGCCTTTTTGTTCTGGAAATGGTTCTGCTTCCACCTCAGAAACGTCGCAATGAAAACTCAAACATCGCGGTTGTTTCCCTTGTCCCAAATTTCATCGTCTCAAACTTTCCCATTACGTAAAGCGACGCGTTCAAAGGATACAGAATCCCTAATCAAAAGTAAACAAGCGGAATTTTGTCAAAACAGAGGCCGCTGTTGCGTATCTAATAAATCGCTCTCTTCATTAACTCTTACCCGTAATTTGGTGTTGTTTGTTTCTTCTACGCAATGGACTTGTCGGAGTTTTGATCCACCTCCACAGCTGGCGGAACAGGGGCCCCATTCTCCGGCATGCCACCTGAAATTAACAGAAGTTTGTTATTAGCACGTTAGAAACGAAATTGGCTATAAAAAGTTTTACTTTTGTCAGAGAGTTCGTCATTTTTCTTTCTGTCACTAGTTGGAAGTTTAGTCGGGAAGCATTGGCAACTGAGGCCGTAAACTGAAGAATAAGTACGTACTAGTAAATTTCCAGGTGTATGGAGAATTTTGAGATGTCAAATTCAATAGCTCCAAGTTATTGAGTATTTATTTTCGGTTGTACTATAAGTACTTCGATAAGACAGAGTTTTACGCTGATAACTCATTGAATAAATACAAAAAGTTTAAATTTCACAGTTATTAGCAAAATAAAATGATTTGTTATCATGCATTGAGTAAGCAGTTGGTTACCAAGAGAATTGATTACAAACCAGTTGAAATCAATCATAATTTTGAAATTGTAAATTTTCTCGTATTTCATCCCCATGTGATATTAGGAATGCATTTTCACAAAGTATATAATTTATTATCGTACTAATGATACAGAAGCACAGAAAATAAACCCGGAGATCACTCTGAGTCAGAAACAAGATGACCTGACTCAAGAGTGAATTGAACTTCAGTTCGAATAAACTTTCTTCAGCGCAGGAATCTTATGGATAACATGATCTGATGAAGTAAAATTAAAATATTCCAGGAACAGGGTCCGAGCCCTGGATAAATATCGAGAGGCGGACTTAACTGTGGTGGAAACTCATATTGAGTCAAAAAGTTGAGGAGTGGACAGTTAGAACACGTCTTAGTGAGCAGAATCCTTACTTGGGACTGAAAAAGTGGCTCTTCCTCACCAGGCACTGAATAAAGATCCTTCAGGGCTTTGGTGGGTAGTATGCTCAAACTCTACTGTTAATTGTCACCTTCCTGGTACTGTAGGAGTTCAACATCAGCATTGATGTTGAAAGAAGTTTGAGCAAACCTACTAAGGGGGTTTCGGCGGTCCTTGAAGAGGTTATGACTAAGTTTGATGTTGCCCTCATTTAAGAACTCTGATTATACACGGTGGAAGCAGGAATATTTCCTGATAGAATGAAGGTCAGGTACGCATGAGACAACATACTACTGAGCCTTAAGGAAAGCAGAAAAGTTAGCCACTGAAAATAACAAAGCCTTGAGAAAATCCAAGAGTGATTTGAAGAAAAAGCAATGCGTGGAGGTCGAACACACCCAAGATATAGGTGCCAATAAGTGACCTAGAAACAAATACTGGGAAGCATACCAAACAGAAGCAAAACTTTGATAGGGGAGGTTTGCAAAAGGGCATCCAGGAAGGATTGGTAAGTGACAGAGACAGTCCTAGATTGAAGAAGTGTAACTGAGCTGTAATTCGCCATATAAAAAACTATATAAGTCACCAGAACCAGGCGCTATTCATTCAATAATACTGAAAAAAAGTCCGGAACTTGGATCAATACCCAAAACTATAGACTAATTGATGTAATCTTCAAAATTCGGTGAAAGGAAACAAAAAAATATGAAATAATTTTGTATTTGAATTAGATTCAGTTATATTTAGAGAATGAAAAATAATTTGAAAGAACTATAGGTATCATACAAATTGAATTCTATGAAACATATCTTCCTTGGAATACAGTCCTGATTCTCAATCTGTTTCTCTTTATATGAACCGCGCCATCAGGTGGAATATCTTTCCTAGCTTCGTAAACAATACCATACTATTTTGGCATGATGAAGATCAAGAACTGATATAATGCTCGACGACATTCAAAGATTTCCTCACCTTTTTTTTTTCAATTTACATTATTGAATATAACTGGAGTTTTTTCCAGTGTTAAAAATAACGATTTGGTGTTTCGATCACCAAGTGATTATCTTCAAAGATGAAGATTTAAACGATCACTTGGTGATCGAAACACGTGTCGAGGTGTTAAAAATAACGATTTGGTGTTGAGAAAAAACTCCAGTAATATTCATTACTACACCAAAGGTTCCAAACAGTGCATCATATTTACATTATTGACAAAATTAATCATATTCAGTGATAATGAAATACATGATACACTGTTTATAAATATCAGGTTCACATTTCTTCAAGTAAATCATGATTTATTGTGAATAAACGGAAATATTCTGAATGTTTTACGGTTAATGAGGTTAAGAGTAATCTATCAAAAAAGAAATCATAGAAGAGATAAAAAAAATAGAACGGATCACTGATGAGGTGGAGATATTACTGTATTATAAATAACTTTTTGAAAAGATGTTCAATGTAATTGAAATATTTGTTGTGAAATTTCCGTACTATATATTTATCCAGCACATAAAAAAGAAATTATGCTTCAAACCAGAGACTGACACCTCGAACTTAATTTTGTCAGGACTTCATAGAGATATAAAACCACGTAACTTCATGTGTATTAATATCTTCCTCCTGTCAATGAATTATATTATCATTATTATCATTATCATCAACGTCTTGTTGAAGTGGCAGTTAAGATTTGGGTATCTGATTCGAAAGAAAAACAAGACATACGGAATACCATGAATTCTATCAAACTTTTTCGATAAACATTTCAATCCAGATACGGCTACAGACTTACTTTCTATAAAATTGAAAATTAAAAATCATCACTTCGAGGCAATTTTGTCATCTGTTCTTCTTCACAGTTGATTTTTGTATTCGGATAATCCTTTATTTTGACTGTTGATAAATATTCCCATAGCATTTTGAAAAAGTTTACACACAAACATATTCGAGTAGAAAAATACTCTGAATCAAATCTAAATTTTGGGGTCTCTTCTCACATGTGAAAAAAATATCCTTATCTATATATCACTTACAAATGCCTCTCCATAGATAACTAGAAAAACGCCTGACTTCGAGGAAATGTCCACATCTGGTCATTTTCACAGTTGATTTCTGTATTCGGATAATCCTCGATTTTGAGTGTTGATAAATATTAACATAGCATATCGAAACACTTTCCACACAAATATATTTGAGTAGAGGTCTCTTCTGACAGGTGAACAAAATATCCACAGAAATATCCATCGCCTAGAAATTCCTCTCTGGAGATAACTAGAAAAACACCCAACGAAACACTGGAGTGCCTGTTCTCAATTTTGTCAACGACGAGAAAACCCTTCGTTGTGAATGAGATGAATGAGATCCGTCTGGGAATGCTCAAGTGGTCGTGAAAGCTCTCCTCCCGCTTTAAATTAGTGGGTAACTAACACCCTTTACAATTCCAGTTGTATCGCAGATTTAATGAAAAGAAAAATGGATTCCTGACGTGCTGTGATTTAGTGCGGCGTCTCTCTTGGAAACTGCCGTTTTTCCTGCTACACCAGATGTTTGGTTAAGAATAAAACGACGGATAGTGTTTTCAAACGGTTTGTATAAGGGAATATAAATTCTAGAATCGTTTTCACTGAAACTGGATGAGATTGCATTATCTCTCTATGTCAGCCAGTACAATAATTGCAATAACGTTTTCCTCAGGTACTTATTCTAATCTCGACTTGAAGTCGACTCATCACTTCTACCAGCTTAGTTTTCACTGCTTTCGAAATATTCATCACAATTCGAAACTCTAGAGCAGCTTTCGACGATGCAGCGTTTAGTGAGATGTCTACCTAGCGTCTTGATTTCCTTAGAACCGTCAATGAAGGACTTCACTCTAATCTACTCTACAAAGTATTTTCTGTCTTGGGAATCGATCACATCAATTAGCATTTCAAAGTTGATATCGGCTCCTGAATTCGCTTCAGTGAAAATGCTTCAAGAATTGTTATCCATAGCGTACTGGGATTCGCTTGAAAATGCTCAAGTGATCGTGAAAACTCGCCACGCTTGGAATTAGTGGATAAATAAATAATAGTTTGAAAAACTGAAAAAACACGCTTAAATAACATCACAAACTTTCACAAAATTTCACTCCATAGTATGTTGTAACATTGCTGAATGAGGGTTAGCAAAATATTTGTGAAACAAAAGGCACTATTGAGGTTAATTTTCAACCTTGATTACAGAACGTCATGTAGGGGAATATTTCAAGAGAATAAAATATCAACTGTGGCAAGCATGTTCATTCTGAAACTCTTGACATACATTTATGAGAATATAAGACATCTTGACCAATGATCGGAAGTACATAATTATAATACTAGGAAAACGATATGCTGACAAATCGAAAATATGTCTATACAAAATATGAAAAGTCTCCTGTGTTTGTTGGAACGAGTATTTATAATATAGTGCCAAACAGTATAAAGACAGTGCCACCAATTGCCTTTAAACAAAAACTTAAATCATTTTTATCGTCAAATGGCACTTTAGGTAAACTTGCCTGTATTTGGATTACATCAGGTACTGTATTCAGGCGTCCGGACCGTATAAAAGGATACACAGGATGACACGTTCAGATAGAGTAGGGCCTAGAGGATGACAGCACGACCAGGTGTCGAAAGCGCTCGCAGATAATAGTAGACAGCTGTTTCAGCCTATTGGGCATGGTCAGTACTGCGCAGGCGGTCCTCGATTGAAGACAAATGTGATGGAAGGTTATCTTGATTTCAGACAGGTTGGAGCCTGGCTCCCTTACCCTTTGGACTGATAAAGACAAATGTGAAAAACCATGAAAAGTACTTAATAGAAATAACTGCGTAAACGCAAGCGAGACATAAGTGGAACCACCTTTGGTGTGATTCACAAGTCAACTTGCCAAGTTCTTATGTCAGTGTTGGTGGTTTGACCAATCAACCGACAACTGCGGTGGCAGAAATTTGGGAAGCTAACCCGTAATGTCATCGAAAAACGAATCCACATGTTTCTAGAAATGATATGAAATCGACAAAGATTAATGCAGTCAAGTTGCTGAAAAATAATTACATGAAAACCAAAAGATAAATAAATAAGTACCATTATGATCATTCCCATATTGATTTCAATTTGAGAGCCACCGGTAGACAGCTGTTTCAGCCTATTGGGCATCGTCAGTACCGGGCAGGCGGTCCTCG